TAGTAAGATGGTAGATTTGAACCCCCACCGTATCAATGATTCTGTTAAGTGTAAGTGGTCTAAATACTCCAATTAAAAGCACAGTGTCCACCTATTTAAAAGAGCAAGACCCAACTGCATCGTGTTTATAAGACACTCTTTTTTTATTTATTTATTTATTTATTTATTTATTTTTTTGAGACAGAGCCTCAAGCTGTTCCCCTGGGTAGAGTGCCCTGGCATCACACTCACAGCAACCTCCAACTCCTGGGCTCAAGCGAGTCTCTTGCCTCAGCCTCCCAAGTAGCTGGGACCACAGGCACCTGCCACAACACCCGGCTATTTTTTGGTTGCAGCTGTCATTGTTGTTTGGGGGGCCCGGGCTGGATTTTAACCCGCCACCTTAGGTGTGTGTGGCTAATGCCTTAGCCACTTGAGCCATAGGCGCCGAGCCATAAGACACTCTTTAAGTATACAGAGAGATATACCATCCGAACACTAATCATTACATTTTAATATACAAATAATAACATATTGTCGGGGTTATGGTGTATGAGAAAAGGCAAAATTATGATTAGTTAGACAGAAAACACTCAGTGGTTACCATAGGCTAGAGGAAAGGGTTGAATTGACTGTAAAGGGACACAACAAACTTTTGGGGGTGATGCAGATGTTCCCTATTTTATCATGGTATGGCTATATGACTTAGTTTTTAAAAGGATCATGTTAGCTACTGTCTTGAGCACAGACTATAGTAGAAGAAACATAAAAAATAGGGAAACCAGCTCAGCCTTATGGAGGAATGAGTGGATATGGTCTGGCAAAAATATTTCCTCATAAATATTAACCTCGTTTCACAGTTCTAGTTCCTGGGCTTTGAAAATTATTTTCTTTCAGTTAAATTTTTATTCAGATACAGCTTAAATTGCTATAATAGCAATAGAAATTTTGTTTGATTACAGTTGAAAATAATAAGACTTACATTGATAATGTTTGATGGTTTAAAAAACAATTTTACATTCATTGTCTCACCTGATGCTCACAGTTCTTTAAGATTGATACAGTAGGCTCAGCACCTATAGCTCAACCGGCTAAGGCGCCAGCCACGTACACCTAAGGTGGCGAGTTCGAATCCCCAGCCCGCGCCCGCCAAACAACAACGACGGCTACAACCAAAAAAAATAGCCGGGCGTTGTGGCAGGCGCCTGTGGTCCCAGCTACTTGGGAGGTGGAGGCAGGAGACTCGCTTGAGCCCAGGACTTGGAGGTTGCTGTGAGCTGTAATGCCACGGCACTCTACCCAGGGGGACAGCTTGAGGCTCTGTCTCAAAAAAAAAAAAATAGATTGATACAGTAACTATTATTATCTCCCTAAACAGGTGGAAACTAAGATCTCACATGCCAAATCCAAGTAACATACCAAGTTTGTGGCAGGATCAGAAAGAGACTAAAACCCAGTCCTTCTGTTTCCTAGCTTGAATACATTAACTTTGTTTAAAAGGGTCTGTTATGTTCAAATTATGTCTTACGATATTAAGATATTGCTGGGGTAGGGTGCGTTTATATTAGCAAATCAAACATAGTGTTTAAAAAGCCATCATTTAGTGAGCAAGATTCTATGCTTAGAAGGGATACCTACAAAGATGTGTATGGTATATTCCTACCCTGTGAACTCATTTCTTGGAGTGATGATACCTGTAACAGCAAATATGCTAAGACACTACTTGTATAAATTCATAAAAGTCTGGCCTGGTGGTATACCCCTATAGTACCATCTACTCAGGGGGCTGAGGTGGGAAGACTGCTTGAACCCAGGAATTTGAATCCAGCCTGGGAAGGACACTGAGACCCTGTCTCTAAAATAAATAAAGTGTTATTTATTGCACTTTTAATGTAGCATCCCAAACAAGTGGTATAGACAGTAGATGCTACAGCAGCAAAGGAAGTACCGTGTTTCCCCGAAAATAAGACCTACCCCCAAAATAAGCCCTAGCAGGATTTCTATGCATTTGTTAAATATAAGCCCTACCCCGATAATAAGACCTAGTGATACGCTGCATAGCCGTGCCATGCATTTCAGCATGGAGAGGAAGATATCCCCTGAAAATAAGCCCTAGTGTATTTTCTTGAGAAAAAATAAATATAAGACAGTGTCTTATTTTCCGGGAAACACGGTAGTGACTTTGATGGCCTGAGTAGTGAGAGCCTGAGTAGACGGGTACTTGAGAAGAGGAATGTGCAGGATTCAGGGAGTCAGAAAATATGAAAGAAGCATTTCTAAACTCGAGATGAGAAGGAGTTAATAACACGAATGAACAAAGGCTTAATGATGGGATTTTCTTTGGAGACAGTGATTAAAACAATCTAATTGGAATCCAAAGGTTGATTTGAGGATGATTGAATCTCCAGTTTTCATTCATGAAGCACTTCTGAAAACTAAGCTGAGAGATGAATGTGTAAAAATCATACAGCAGGCTTATGTGTATGTTGGGAAAGATGTTGGGGAGTGGAAAGTGCGGTCAGGTTCTTATTTACACTCTGCCTTTTAGAATAAAGTCTAGCGGTTGTTTCATTCATTCTTCATCAGTTGCTCCACTTAAGCCAAATGGCCTAAGTATCTGATTGGAACTGAAGATTTACTGCTTCTAGTGTACCTCTTGATTTCCACGTACCCCCTTCTTCCAGGAGCTCATAGTATTTCTTCATTGGGCCAGACGCAGTGGTTCATGCCTGTAATCCTAGCACTCTGGAAGGCCAAGTTGGGAGAATCCCTTGAGCTCGGGAGTCCAACACCAGCCTGAGCAAGAACAAGACCCCATGTTTACTAAAAATAGAAAACTTAGCTGGGCATCATGGAGGTGCCTATAGACCCAGCTCCTCAAGAGGCTGAGGTAGGAAGATCACTTATGCCCAGGAGTTTGAGGTTACTGTGAGCCGGGCTGATGCCACAGCACTCTAGCCTGGGCAACAAAGTGAGACTTGGCTCTTTAAAAAAACAAAAGAAAAATTTGTTGTTGTTCATTAATTGTCTTCATCTGATGTGTTGGCTTTGGAATGGGTTAGGGAATCAATATATAAAAGAACAGGTTGTTCAAAAGACTCAAAGTTAAGGGCCTATCATAAGAATTAGATTTGGAAAATAAGACTAGGCTATGTAGAATCTAACATTTATTTCAGTTCAGCAAAGATTGATTTAGGTCTACCATGGCTGTCTATGCTGTGCTGTGCTATCTTCTGGAGTACACTTGAATGCAGAGCCCTGTTCTTAAGGAGTTCACATTCTGATGGGGGGCAGGGGGATGTAGGGAATATTTAACTTCCTCCTCAAGGAGAGAAATTATGTGGTAAAAGTGGTTTATCTAAGATTTAATGTGATGGTGGTATAAGAAGTGTACTGAAATTAAGGCAAACTGGAAATTGAGAGCAGCTGGTAAAAGAGCTTGTACCTACCTGGGAATACTAATTTATATTCCAAGGGGGGAACCCCTGACCCCCAACAGAGGTTATAGTGTCTGTTATCTGAAGGACACTGTATCTGCTCTACACTTCACCCCCATCACTGAAACAGAGTCATCAACATAAAACAGTATTTTGTGCTTATGGTTTCCACTCATCTGTTTACTTAGTATTTGATTCAACAAATATTTATTAAGCTCCTACTGTGTGCCTGGCATTCTTCCATAGACTGGAAATACAATAATCAATAAAAGAGACAGACCCCCTGCCTTCATGGAGTTCACGTTCAAGTTCAGCCAGTTACTCAGGCAATACTAAATGAGCTAATAATATGAGAAGACACCTGTTACAGGGTTCAGTAAGTTTTGATTAGTGTATTGAACTTGAAATTTGAATTAAGTATCTACTCTTGGCAAAATATTTTATTGGGCTATTCTTTTGCAGGATAGAGTTGGGGGGATTCATTCGTTTGCATATTTTTTAACTGTTATGTCAAAAAATTGAGTCTCCTATTCAGTTTCAGGGCAGCTAAGCTTATAAGCTAGATTAAACATACCCAGTTGTCTGTTGTAGACCACTTTTGACCTGAAAGATGAAGCACTGAAGCAGGTGCTGCCCATCAAAAGTGTGTGCTCTCCGTCCTGCTCCAGTGGTTTTTGTGGCTCCCTGAGTTCCTGAAAAGACTCATTGTTGTCACTGACTATGCTTCACAGAAACCCTTTGTGTCATTATTTAGCAACTGACTGCTTTGGTGAAAGCTGTGTGAATTCCTTTGTTAACTGTAACAGCAGTTAAAAGTGATGTAAGGAGAAGAATAAATGAAACAAAGACTTGATAAGTGCATACATGAACAAGCAGACATCTTTTAGATCAATGTCTGAGTATTACTTGAAGTAGCATTTGTCACATAAAATATGGAAAATAACAATACTGCATTTATTTTCTAGTTGTTTCATTCAGATAGGACCTGTTACCAGCCACATAGGAATGATTTTTTTTCCTTGTGGCCTTCTCTTTGGCCTTACTGCTTCTTAGGTGGGGAGCCAGCTTGATGGTGATACATGCAGAGCAAAGTTAATCCTTTTTTTGCAAATTCTTGCATGAAGATTTATAAATATATTATTATTATTATTTTTTTTTTTTTGCAGTTTTTGGCCGGGGCTGTGTTTGAACCTGCCACCTCCAGCATATGGGGCTGGCGCCCTACTCCTTTGAGCCACAGGCGTTGCCCAAAGATTATATTTTCTTATCGACCTACTTTTCTTAAAAGTCTAGGAATCAGATGATGCATGCATTTACTGTTGTTATAAGCCAAGATTTGATTTGACTTTCCTATAAAATACTATACTAAAACCCTTACTTCTTTAGAGACTTGAGGTTGGAAGTAGAAGAGTTAAGACCTTGCATTTTGCCTCCAGATAAAATGCTTCGCAGTAAATTTGTGATTAGAATTTTGGGCTGAACAGATGATGTCATTTCTGCAACATGATATGGTGTGTATATGCTTTTTAAAAACAAGTACTGTCTGTGGAATTAGTTACACGGTCTTTTCTGGTCCCTTTTTAGATGTGAAACCCTCCAATATGCTAGTCAACACAAGAGGACAAGTCAAGCTGTGTGATTTTGGAGTTAGCACTCAGGTAGGTCTCTTTTTCCTCCCAATCTGTTCTTCTCTCTGCAACAACCACTTTTTGTTTTCAATCTACTTTCTGGATTGAAAAATCACCTAGCTGCCAGACAAACAGAAACTCTGTATCTTTGCCTCGGCTGGGATTGTGTTATTCATTTTTAATCTCTGAGTGGGTTTCCTTCATCAGAATATGATTGTTCATTGTTTAATGACAGTAAAAACTGCTGATATTGTAATTACTACTTACCAATAGCAAACTTCATTGATATGCAGCTTTGATATGAAAGCTTTTTGGCCAGACAAAAGGGAGGGCAGAGTGGGAGCTGTGCCTGGGGAGCCCAACTGGCCCACAATAAAAATTAATATTGGGAGCAACAATGGTGGAGGGCCATTACAATGTGCAGCACAAATTTTAATTAATTTCCATTTTGGGCCTCCCCTGAGAATGCCAGTGATAGTGACCCATGAGCATGCTGTGATGTTGATTTGAATTGCAGCCACCTTTACTCCCAGCCAAACATGAAGACCAAAGCGAAGGTCATCATTGTATTATGAGTTGTCAAAGTCTGTTATCCCTCCAGCGTATTTAGTGTTCATTTCATTCTAGTAATGCATGAGGCTTCATTCACATCTTGAGCCATCTGACTAAAAAATGAATGTGTTCAAATTCTACTTCAAATTGACTTTTTATATCAGGCGGGTTTGGGGTACTAAAGCGATAAGCATCCCGCTTAAGTGAATTGTTTAAGGTTATCTGCTATAAACTGTAATGTTGTGCTTGTTTAAATTGGAAATCACATTCAAAAGAAAAGAGAGATTTAATCATTTTTAATGCCTTTGTAGATAAATTTGCTCCCTTTTACATAATTTTTAGTTGATTTATAGGAATGATGATTGTAGGTTAAATGAGGAATAATTGCCCATTTTATTTCCACATTATCTTTATATTGTTGTAACAGACTGTTTTGTCTCATAGCTGGTGAATTCTATAGCCAAGACGTATGTTGGAACAAATGCTTATATGGCGGTAAGTAAACTTATGCAAAAATAACATTTAAAACCAACATCTTTATCTTTATGTACTTGGTAATGTATAGTTCTTGAATTAATTCCACAGCTTTAGCCTAGCAGATATAAATTACAAAGTCAGTCTAGTCATGATTCAATTTTTAAATCCTTTTCTAAAACGTTGAGGTTTATATAGGCGCTATCAACTTATCTTACTTTGTTGAATTCACTGATTGGTTCAAATATGAAATCGCTGAGTTTAATCCTACAGGAAAATTGCATCTTATATCATGTTGGCTACTTTTCTACATTGTTTATTTAATTAACCCTCAAGTATACCAAAATATCAGTCAATAACATTGGTTGTTTTTTCCAGGAATAAAAACATGTTTTGTCATCAGATCAAAATTAAATTACAGATCTAGCCACATTTTATTTATAGATCTCTGAACATAAGGATTTAGCAGGCAATTCTCTGAGAACTTTACTTCTGTATTTTGTTTCGTTGTTGAATTCATACCTATTGTAAGATAACTTATTTGGTTTCACTGAAATAAACTTACCAAGAATAAAAAATAGAAGCATAGAGTTGTTTTATAGACTAACATGGACTTGGCTTTGCCTGTTGACCTCTTCTTCTTACCCTCTGAGTAAGGGAAGGTATTTGTATCCATAAAAATACTTTTGTTTTTTTTTAAAAAAAAAAAATGTTTTCCTTTCATCTATTGGTTTCCATAGTCACTTCAAGAGTAAGAAGGAAGACCAGGTACAGTGGCTCATAGCTACAATCCTAGCACTCTGGGAGGCTGAGGTGGCTGGATTTATTTGAGCTTAGGAGCTTGAAACCACCCTGAGCAAAAATGAGACCTCGTCTCTACAAAAAACAGAAAAACTAACTTGGTGTTGTGGTGTGCACCTGTAGTCTCACCTACTTAGGAGACTGAGGCAGGAGGATTGCCACAAATTTGAGCTATTTTGAGCTATGACTTTGATACTGTATTCTAGCTGGAGCACAGAGCAAGACCCTATTTCAAGCAAAAAAAAAAAAAAGAGAGGGAAGAAGGAAGGGAGAAAACCAACAGGAAGCTTCTCTGGTACCGTTTTGGAGCAAAATTTTGTCTTGTTTTAACTTCTTAAGGTTAATTTTTATACTGAGGGCTCTAAATCTATTAAGGTGGTCTCTTTTACTTCTAATAGCCTTTGTTTATGTAACAAGAAATTAAACAATGTTAGTAAAAATAGAACTGTAGATCTTAATGTCTATATTCTTTGTTTATACATTATCTTGATTAAAAGATTTAAGGGTAGAACTCTAAATCTTTTTTTTTTTCAAGATGTGTACGTGTGTTTATATACATACAAAGACGTGCCCAGACACATTGAGTTGCCTAAAGTTCTCATTTCAGAAGTAAACTAGATGATAGTTCAAAAGCCAAAGAATCATTTGGAATGTTAAAATCACTTACAAATGTTCACTTAGGGCAGCCACAGAATCAAGGGACCTACTATAGACATTATAAAATGAAATCTAATAGGCTTTTGGATAAATGTAAGAATGCATTTGTTCTAGTTCCAGACTGAAGTCACATCACAAACGCAAATATTTATGATGAAGTTCATGATGCTTTGTGAGTTGAGTGAGACTTATAAAATTGATATGTACTGAACATTCAGTGTGACTTTTTATAGAGAAGACTCTCTGTTGGTGATTACAGGATACCACCAGCCAGATCATAGAACCCAAAGTATTGCTCAATAATAAATGGATATTCCCAGTGCATATTTGGCAGAATTTTTTACTATCATATTCATGCATAAGTGTTTTTGAGACTCTCAAAATAAATCTACAAATATGTTTTCAAAGATACAAAAAGTACACTATATACACTACATAGATATCAAAATTAAATTGTTATTTGAATTGTACCCATAGTTAGTGTGATTGACTTTTTCAGTTAACTTAATAAAACTGTAGATAATCTATCCTTTTCGCATTTCTAGTCTTTTCAAAACTTACAGGAGTGCAAGTCAATTGACGGTGAAGTTTCTCTCTATACACTACAGAGATAGAAGAACTTTTATTTTGTTTAAGATATTGCCAAACTCACAGAGGATAATGAAAGTAAAACGCTAATATTTAACTTCAAAAAATTAAAATTTTATAAAATGTTCATAAGGCTCTAATAGTGATTTTAATCTAACAGCATGAAGCTTGTGATTTTGCTGATCTCCATGCAGCCAAAATATTCATTCTGAGACAGTATTTAATTTCTTAAGGGTTTGGGTCAAAGAACTATGACTCCTTCTTTGTGGATTTCTGTCATAATCCTTGCTGCCATACCAAACAATGTTTAAATTACTGTCCAAGAGAACTGAAATGCCCTGTGCTACTAAACCAAAAACATATCAAATTTTTCTACAGGCTATGCAGGAAAGTAGAATTGATGACTTTTTACAGGCTATGCATAGGAGAGAGAGAGTTGATCCAGAGGATCATAGTACTAAAAGTTTGAACATATTATGTCTTCTGTAAAGCTTTTCATAAGTCACCATAGAAGTTGGTTAAAGTGCTTGCCATGGCTGTATCCACACAGACAGAGGAATCATCCCATGCAGGTCTGTCTGAATATAGTCGATCAAAAGACTCTGGCTTGGATCATCTATGAGTGGAACACAAAACCAACTACAGGGAAGGTTATCTCCTCTAACAAATTCTGGTCTCTTCACTCCAGTGAAGACTTATCCCACAGGATAAAAGCCCTTCTTGATAGCTCATGGGATAGGAGAAATCACAATCTCTCTTGGGGAAATTATATTCCAAAGCTGACCAGCAGTAGTATAATGCATCACATAGCAATCTCTTCAAAGTGCTCCAAAATATCCAATGATGTGATTAAGCTGTCCCAATCCAAATAACAAGGCCCTGGGCGTATATGGTCTATGGTACTACTGAAAATGTCATCTATGACACCTTGAGCTTTGTAGAGATAGCCATTAAATAATTCTGAGGGTTTTCTCCAATCTGTTACATCTTTTGTTTTCTTGGCAACTCGCCACATATTATCTTCAGTACTGTGGTACTGTATGAGAGCGTTTCTAAGTTTAGTTGCAAAAGAAGTAACATTAGGCAGGACTTCCATTTTTTCTTTCTTTCTGGAAGTCGGTCTAGTGTTCCAGGAGAGAAGCCCATTCTTTTCTATATCTTTTTTTTTTGGAGACAGAGTTTTAAGCTGTCACCCTAAGTAGAGTGCTGTGGTGTCACAACTCACAGCGACCTCAAACTCTCGGGCTTAAGTGATTCTCTTGCCTAAGCTTCCCAAGTAATTGGGACTATAGGTTCCTGCCACAATGCCTGGCTATTTTTTTGTTGTAGTTGTCACTGTTGTTTGGCAAGCCCAGGCCGGAACCCGCCAGGCTCGGTGTATATGGCCAGTACCCTAACTGCTGAGCTATGGTCACCGAGCCAGAACTCTAGATCTTATTCTCAGAAAAATACAAAGCATTTTGGTTTTGTTCAGGTTTCAGAATAGTTACTTTTCTCTTGCATTTATTATTTATAAATATATACTTTTCTTTGGTTTTTTTTTTTTTTGAGGTAATGTGAAAAAAAGTAGAACAATTTCTAAAGTCATCGTATCTGGTATGGGTGTAGGGTGTGTTTGTGTTTTAAGACAGGGTTTACTCTCTTCGGTGGGTGAGACTACAGTGGTATCATCACAGTTCACTGCATCCTCAAAGTCTTAGGCTTGCGTGATCCTCCTGCCTTAGCCTTCTGTGCAGTTGGGGCTACAGGCAGATGCTACTGTGTCTGGCTAATTTTTCTATTTTTTATAGATGTGGAGTCTCACTATGTTGCTCAGACTATAGTTTTATAAAATTCAATCTCCATCCTTGCTTTATCTACTAGAAAGAAATTGGTGAACCACTTTTATAGTTAATAATGTCATATTGAGTGCTACAGTTTCAGTCTTTGAAAGAATGTGAAACACTGTGATTTAAAAAACAAAACCAAAAAACTATTAAGTGAAACCACTTCTCAGCTACTCAGCATGTTCTTATTAGCTTTAAATTGCTCTAATAATTAAACTGCATTATATTTGAATGTTTAAATCCAGATTACAGTTGTCTTTCCCAGGTGGATATTAAAGAAATTACTTATTTTCCTTTTTCTTTATGGATGAATGTGATGCATCCATCTGTTAATTGAAAATATGAGGATTAGAATTATGAAATGTTAGCTCATCTTGGCTAAAGAAAAATTGCTTTACTTCTTGAGTGAGTGAATTCTAGTTATCCGCTTTGTGGTTCAAACTTCAAAAAGCATAAGATACCTAGGAAAGGAACAGTGATTGCCTGGGAATGAGACCTTTGCTTAAATTTCAGTAGGAGGCTCTTTTTGTTAAAATACTTACATAGATGTTATGAAATAAAAGGTTGGGGGTAGAAAAATGGAACTAGCCTATTGTATTCTAGTATGGGTACTAATCTCTGCCCTTTATGTGCTGACAGTCTCTTAAAGGAGAAGGGCCAGAGTTTGTTTTTGTTTTTGTTTTTGTTTTCCTCTTAACCACAACTGGTTCTTGTTTTCAGCTAGTCTATTTTATAATTTCTAGTTCTACATGAGGATCTCTCACGAACTATAGCTCTCAGCTCAAATTTAGCTTACTGTTTTTGAAAATAAAGTTTTATTGGAATCCCCATTTGGTTTTGTATTGTGCATTGCTGCTTTAGCACGATAGTGGCAAAGTTGAGTGGTTGTGACAGTTGTAGCAGAGAGCATATGTCCCACAAAATGAAAAGTATTTACTGTCTGGCCCTTTATAGAAAAAGTTTGTCAGCCCCTGGTCTATGCCAGTGAAAACTATATCTGAAATAGAGTACCAAATACATGAATTAGTTCATGAAAGCTACGTTCTAAAAGTGTCTTGTTCACTAGTTATAAACAGAGCATTTTACTTTTGATATTAAGAATAATACTTGTATTATAATGTATAGAGGCCTCATGTTACTCAAATATAGCCAGCTAGGCCACGCCCAATGTTGAAAAGAAAATAAATCAGAAGGAAATGTCTCTGTATATGTGAATAATCTCACTTTATTCTCCTATTACCTAAGTGTAAGGTACCAGGAAAATAATTAGGACGAAGCCAGGAAGTCTTTTGTAGGATCTTCAGTCATTACAAAAAGAAAACAAAACGGAGCTGAGTACAGTGGCTCATAACTATAGTCCTTATACTTTGGGAGGCTGAGGCAGGAAGATCTCTTGAGCCTAGGAGTTGAGACCAACCTGGGCAATAGTGAGACCCCCCTCTCTGCATTAAAAAAAATAAGTTTAGTGGGCAGTACCTGTGGCTCAAGGAGTAGGGCACTGGCCCATATGCCAGAGGTGGCAGGTTCAAACCCAGCCTTGGCCAAAAACTGCAACAAATAAATAAATAAATTTAGCTAGGTGTGGTGGTACAAACCTCTGATTCCTGCTATAGGGAGGCTAAGGCAGGAGGATTGGCTTGAGCCCAGGAATTTGAGGTTGCAGTGAGCTGTGATGAGAGCACTGCACTCTACCCCCAGTAACACAGCAAGACCCTGTCTCAAAACAAACAACAACAGAATTTATGGGCACACTGACAGTCATAGACCATGATGAAGGGTTGGGGACATGTGAAAACAAACCGTCCCTAACCCCTCCTCATTGGTATGCAACTATGAACAATGGAGCCTGTAGGGGATTGGAGCAGTCATCTTGATCCAACATTCTTGTTGACCAAATGAGGACACCAGGACCTGGAAAGTGAAGTGTCGTAATGGCAGATAATTAGGTTCAGTAGACACTTTCATCCAAGGCAGGAACGATTTTCAACTATATTTTTAAAGGATTTCATCCAGGAGGATTATAAAAAGAAAGGGGTCCATATGCTTGGGCCTTATATTAAATTAAACCTTTCCTCAGAAATTCTAATTACTAAAAATTTTCTTTTGTTTTTAAAATAAAAATCTCAGAAACTTTAGCCACCTATTCAGTCCTAGTGATTCATTATAATTTTTTAACATTAGACTAAAATGTTTGACACTATTGTTACAGATAGTAAGTTTTGAAATTAAAGATGAAAAAAAATCTTACTCAAATACTTGTCCTTTGGCATCAGAAAGCCAGTCTTAATGACTACTAATATTTCCAGGACGTTTGTTTCTGGCCAGACTGTTCTAGTCCTTGGAAGTTGTCTTTATCTGGAATAAAACCTGTGCAGTTGCCTTGACCCAACTCAATTGGCTGTGCTCATGCAGTGGTAGGAAAGGTAGTGGTGATGATTAGGAGGAGGCTAAGATCTACCGAGCATGCCTATGTGGCATGTGCTAAATTTAATCCTCACACAACCCCATGAGGAATGTAAATTCTCATTACTGTCTTCATTTTACAGATGAGGAAACCAAAGGTGAAATATCTTTAGCCAAGGGTCTCAGAGTTGGCAGATAGTGGAAGGCAAGATTTAATTAGGACACTACCTTCTAGTTTCTGCTAATAGCAGGCTACCTTATTTGGATCACTTCTTCTGTAGAAAAATGCTAATTAAAAGGTTTTTTTTTTTTTTAAACCATTTCAAATTCACTGAAGAGCTAAAAAGGCAATGGGGAACTTCCAGGACAGTTTTGGAATAAAATCCTCTAAAGGAGAAAGGAAGAAGGAAAACCCTTGGAGCTTAATTATTCCTGAGGGCATTTGCCTGTACCACACTCAGGTGAGAGGGGCAGAGGGTGACCCCCAGAGTCCACCTAAGGCAGAAGGTCTCAGAGATCGTCCCCATTCCATTCCATGCTGGAAGCAGAAGTGGCACACCTCGTGCGAGTCCAGACTAGATCTAAAAAGCTGCTCTTCCTTACCCAGTCCCAGGTAGCTTCAGTGGAAGCATTCTGGAGCTAAGCAGAGGAGCAGGAGAGAAAGGATAAGTGGGGGAAGTTGTTAGCTACATGAATTTGCACCCTGTAGATGTGTGTATGACATGGGCAAGCGCTTCATGCTGAGACCTTGTTTGTGATGGGCATGTCCACCTTCAGCTTTGAGAGAACCTCTTCAAAATTTTTCTTTCAAAAGGAAAAACTAGTAAGCAAGGAAAACCAGAAACAAAAGAAAACAAAGCAACATGAAGATCCAGCAGCAACAACAGGCAACAGAAACAGCTGCACACAGACTAAGATCACAGAGGTTGGAGGTGGCATAATAAACCTGAAAAATCTCAGACAAAACTTCTAGAATAAAATTAAAAACTCAACTATATTTGTTAACATATTGAACACAGCAGAAGAGAGAATTAGAGAACTGGAAGATAGATCTGAATTAGAGCAGTCTGACTCCAGAGCCCTGTTGAACCAGCATGCTGTGCTTCCAAAATGGGATCTTGCCCACTTTAAAAAAAAAAAAAAAATCCCATCACTTGTGATATGTATTTTGATTACATACTAGCAGTATTTGTGCCTACTTTGTTAATGTTCTGAATTGCTTAACTCTGAGTGGAAACTCCTTTATCAGAAGAGATCAGAGATGTCTTGGTATCATCCTGCTTTGGACAAGTAAACCCTGCGATATTGTATTGTAAACAGAGACGATTCTGGAATTAGTTGACTAGATGGAGGTCCTAGTAAATGCTCAGTCTCAGAATGTGTGGAGAGAGTGCAGTGTGAGTGCCAACTTGAAGCCACTGCCCTTTAAGATCCTCTGTTAGTTCTGCTTTTAGGTCATCTTCACTCTTTACTGTTCTTATTGAGAACAGGCCACAGTTTTCTGTTCCTTTTTCTTTGCTCTCACTTACCCCTCAGTGCAGAAGTGACTTGGTGAGAGTCATGCTTTTCCTATTATTTAACTTTCCCCATTGGTGACAGCTGTCATGTGAGAAAGTAACCCCAGCTTTAGCTAAAAGCTAAAGATGTGTTCATCACACATCTGTCAGCAACGTGGCACCTAGTGGTTGGTTTTGTTTAGTTTCATTTTGTTTTTGAGGGGAGAGGACGGTGCAGGCCACCTTGGCTTCAAGTGTGAGAACAGCTTTGAATTGTGCAGCCTCCGGTCATCAAATCCTGGCCTCATAAATCCGGAATGTATTGTGGCTCATATTTTGTCTCAGTCAGTCCCAGAGCCCTGGGCATGTTTCCCAATCCCTGTACACCTTAAGAAGTTGTTAGGAGAGATCAGGGAGCTTGCCACCTGCTTTTTTTGAGCATACTTGCTTGCACCACATCCAAACAGTAATCTTAGTTTGTTAGTTTATTGTAAGAATAATTTCTCTGAGGAGAAATTGTCAGAATCTCATCCTTAAGGAGTTCTCTTATTTGCCACCTAATATCTGTCAACATTACCACTTCTCTATTTTTTCTTTTTAATTTAATTCTTCTATGCTTTATTAGCAGCTTACAGTTTGCATTTGTTTTGGTAGTTCAATAGGCGAATGGAATGAATGTTTTTAATCTCATTGTTAGTCCAAAATATTTTATATGTGGCTTTCACTTTTGTTTGTGTGTTTGTTTTCGTTTTTCTTTTGTATTCTGAATGAAGTGTATGTATTGATACCTGGTAGCCACTGGAATGAAGAAATGGAGAGAGAAGGGCAAAAGGTGTAGGGAGTAAGACAAGATTTGGTTATTCCTTTAACAGTTCCAGAAGATTTTATGTCTTTATGAATACATCCTAGCACCTATTGAATGAGCTAATAGCACTGGATTGTGGAGTTTGGGTTCTGATCCCAGCCCTCCATAATGAGCTCTGTAACCTTCAGCATTCATTCTGCCTTTCTGAGACCTCAGTTAATTACCTCTTACTAATTTATTCATATATTCATTCCAAAGACTTCTGTAAAACACCATACTGAATGCTATATCCTTGAAGGATAGATCCAGGAGGCAGCCACTCTGTATAAAATTCTTCCTGTTGGAGTAGAGAGTACCTGTAGCAGTTTTCTAAACCAGGTTTTTTCTACACATTTTGAGTGGAGGACCAGGAGCACCAAAGGGACCTTTCAAACTATTCCTTGGTTCCTATCAAAGGAAACCCTGATAAATGGAAGAAAATGGTGAATAGTCAGTAAATCTGAGTTCTGTTAACTTTCCTATAAGTTTGAAATTATTTCCAATTAAAAAATTAAAGGAAACTCTGGTACTCCAGACCTATTTATCAAAATGCAAGTTAATAATAATATTGTATAGTATTGTTTGTTATTCTACACCTAAGACCATGCATTTGGTGAAGGAAGACCTGGGTTCAATTCTCAGCTCATTCTGTAGCTTAAGACCTCGCCTAAACTATTTCACTACTCTGAGATTCTGTTTTCTTTTTTTTTTTTTTTTGAGACAGAGCCTCAAGCTGTCCCCCTGGGTAGAGTGCCGTGGCATTACAGCTCACAGCAACCTCCAACTCCTGGGCTCAAGCGAGTCTCCTGCCTCCGCCTCCCAAGTAGCTGGGACCACAGGCGCCCGCCACAACACCCGGCTATTTTTTGGTTGCAGCCGTCATTGTTGTTTGGCGGGTCCGGGCTGGGGATTCGAACCCGCCACCTGAGGTGTACGTGGCTGGCGCCTTAGCCGGTTGAGCTATAGGCGCCGAGCCAGCTTCTGTTTTCTTATTTGTGAAATAGACATAATAAAGTCTTTCTCACAGAGACTTTGTGAGGATTCAGTGAGATTATATATGTCTGTACCTAATTTCTGTATGTAGGGTCTTAACTATTTAATATGCATAATGCATATATACATACATGTAAAATTGTTTTGCTGCCCATAAAAGGCTATGCAAATGTTGGTGGCTCCCCACCGTAGCTGAGCTCATGTTCAGTGCCTGTGTTCCCTAGAGTAGCAGGCGTCAACTCACAAGCTCCCTTTTCTTTTCTTATAGCCTGAAAGAATTTCAGGGGAGCAATATGGAATCCATTCTGATGTCTGGAGCTTAGGAATCTCTTTCATGGAGGTATGTTGTTGTCTGCAAATAGACCCTTCTGTGCATATCTGTACTAATATGTTCAGTCGGGAAGAATGAAGATTTTGAAAGTAAAATAAACCTTCAGTGTATGATATACACACAGAGTTTGACTATAAAGTCTTTGTTTTTATATCCTTGTGTGGCTTGTGAACTGACTCTGGAGGTTATTCTAAAGTGCTACTTCTCACAGATTTTGTATAATATAAGGCTTGCCTCGAGTGCTTGTTAAAAAATAAAGGTTGCCTGACCCCATCCAAGACCAGTTAAATCCAATCTCTAAGAATCTGCATTCTTAGCCTGTCCTCTAGGTGATCTTTTTGTACACTAAATCTAGAGCAGGGGTCCTCAAACTTTTTAAACAGGGGGCCAGTTCACTGTCCCTCAGACCATTGGAGGGCCGGACTGCAGGCCCTGGGATGAGTCGGCTGCTAAGCAGGACAGGCAGTGGTGGAAAAAACACCTGGCGGGCCAGATAAATTTCCTCCGCAGGCCGTAATTTGAGGACTCCTGATCTAGAGCCTATGTTCTAAAGGAGTATTACAGAAAAGTTCTGTGCCTTGTTAGAATAACTTCCAAAGGTGATTGCTTAAAAAGGATAGCCCTACTCATTTGGATATATATGTTCTATATGTCTTTTTAAAAAGAAAAAATTCACCTCATTCCAATATGTACATGTTTATGTGGGGCAAGGGGTGGTACGATATAGCAGAAGAGGAGAAGGGAAAGGGAATTGATGTATTTGGCACAGTTTTAATATCTTTATTTTTGTAGCTGTATTTAGAATGGACTTTTATTTTAGCATGCTTGATGTAGCCCTACCTGAACTCTCTGCTAAGATTTCTGTAAAATAGCCATTGATCTCTAAGGAAATGCATATGACTTACATCAGAAGGACATCTGGCTCAGTTTGAATTACAGTAATATAGAACCTGGATACTCACCAGAGCTTCAAAAATTGTTTCAGATAAAGGAAGACTTTTTAGAAAAGCAAAAAGGACTCTTTAAATAAGATCTTAGAGTTGCAGTCATGATTTTATAACCCCTTTTTTAAGTCAAATACTTTTTCTGTGCATTTTTGTAATGCATGAATGCAATTGTATTTGTAAGGAAATATCCTCAGACTCAATTCACCCGCATGGTAGAAAGAAAGCAAAAATAAGTGTTCAGTGTTCATTAAACCATATTCCTGTACTTCCTCATAAAAGGGAATCTAAGAAGAAATACAATATATATGCATCAACTGAGAGGTTAGAACTGGGTTTCTCAGTGGAATCCTGAAGGGCTTGTTCTATAAGCCTGTTTCAAGGAAACTAGTGCTGGGTTTTGTTTTGTGTGTGTGTGTGTGTGTGTGTGTGTGTGTGTATTTTGTTTTGTTTTGTCAAAACAACCTCAAACTCTTTGGGCTTAAGTGATTCTCTAACCTCAGCCTCCCAAGTAGCTGGGACATGGGCGCCTGCCACAACACCCAGCTATTTTTTTGTTGTAGTTGTCATTGATGTTTAGCTGGCCCAGGCTGGGTTCGAACCCAGTACCCTCAGTGCATGTGGTATGGGCGCTACCCAAAACTAGTGCTTTTGATTTGCAAGACTCAGGCCTTGCTGTTAAATAATTTCTATTTGCATATTTTAAATCATTGTCATTGACTATGCTTCCCCATCTAGATACAGTGTAGAACAGTTGAGAAGTTACATGGGATAGAGATAAGACTCCACGATTGGGAAGGGAAGACCTAGATTGCAGCTTCAGGTTTGCTGCTGGATTTTTAGGTGACTGGGCCTCAGTTTCTTTATTTGTAAAATAATGATCTCTAAGGCCCTTTCCAGACTAACATGCTGTGACTTTCTTGCTGCTCATTTTGCTGTTGCCTTTCCTTAACTTTCATGCAACAACGCTAGAGTTTGTGACTGAGACGGTGATGAAGTGGCATCAAATGCAGAGGCATGGCATAACCATAACAGAGCACAGAGAGTAGATTTGAGGTTTAGAGCACACCTGAATACTCCCCATTCACCCCTCCACGTTCATTCATACACTCCTGTATTGAGCTCCTGCAGTGCCTGCTATGTAAGGACACTGACATCTTAGCTTTCATGACGTTACATTTGGTGAAGGGCTAGGGTGCAGCAACAAAGGGATATCTAAGTATGTAATTTATCGGGGGATGGTAAGTCCTAGGGAGCAAAAAAGCAAAGTACCATTGGAATACAGGTAGCCACCTGGTAACAGCAAGTACAGAGGCACAAAGATGGTGTGCAGTTGGCATATTTAAGCAAAGCAGAGACCCCAGTGTGACTTGAGTGGAGTTGGCAAGGGAAATGTGAGAAAAAAATAAATTTAGCTGGGTAGCCAGGGGCCAGATCATATACAGTTTTGTAGGCTGTGCTAAGGATTTTAGTACTACTATGAGTTTAAATTGTCTTACATTTTCAAAGGATCACTGGGTGCTCTGTGGAGCACAACTATGGAGGGGCAGGTGTGGAAACAATGAGATCAGTTAAGGTAGATAGATGGGCGCCCGATAAACATAACATAGTTAGAACATAGTTATATGTATTTATATTGCATATTAAAATAGTGTGTCTGCCAGTATTTTCCTGGGTGCTGGGAATGCAAGGATTAATAAAAAGGGATTCTTTGTAGTGTAAGGAGGGAAATTGCCATTGATGTATTTGGGATTTTGTTGATCATGTTCATTTATCCTGCAGGTAAACTATTGAATAGTCTCATGAAGATTGAAGAAAGCAGACTCATTGAATTTTTAAGATTGGGGGGATAGGTCAGCTCTAAGCAGCCCTGTAAAAAAGAAAAAGAAAAGATTGGGGATAGAGGCCTGTGAAGAAGTGTCAGTGTTGAGTTGGGATACCTGAATGCCAGACGGAGTGTGTTGGCTCACATGGTGAAGTGGAGAGTAGATAACCACATGGTTGAGAGCAAGGACCAGGAACAGTGAGGCCTTTTATGCTTCCTTTGTTTTAAAATGGATGGTGAGGGCTGGGTGCCCATAATTCAGTAGTTAGAGCACCGGCCCTGTGCACCGAGGGTAGGGGGTGGCAGGTTCAAACCTGACCAGGGCCTGCTAAACAAAAAAATAAATGAATTACGTGAATGGAGAAGAGTTGGGTGTTATGGGAGGAGGAGAAGAATCTGTAACATTACTTTACAGAATGTGAAGTGGAATCTGATTATGATCATCAAAAAGGATTGTTGAGTACCTGTTTGTACATGATGCTTAGCTAAATGCCTTCAGGAGGAACTACAGGATTGTAGCCCCTGCTTTCTAGGAATTTATTACCTACCAGCTAAGCAAGTGACAACATGTGACCAACCCAAGACGTAGACCAGTAAGTCATTAGAGAATAGAATAAGGCCCCTGGCATCTGTTTTATTCATTTAGGGAAAAGGTAAAGAAAAACAAGTGATAGGGAAGGGGAATAGGAGGTTTTGAGCCCATAGATGAGAATTTGTAGGTTATTCAGTAATGAAGATTACAAGAGAACTCCGGGGTTGGTTCTTAGACCCACCCCTGCCACCCCTTAGTGGACGGTATAATGAGAACATTACCTGAAGGGATTGGGAATTTAGTCCAAAAGGAGTGCTTGAAGGCCAAGATTCTTTGTTTTTACTATAGTACCCTTGGAATAGATGTGGTAAATCTTGTTTAAAATCATGATAGACAGAGGAAAGTATGAATTTCAGTGGTATTTTTAAATTTGAGGGACAAACTGCATTTTGGGACATAGTTACCACTTTCCTTCTTGGCCAGGCATAGGGGCTTATACCTGATCAACAGGGGAGGAGGATCACTTGAGTTCAAGTTCAAGCCCAACCTGGGCAATGTAGCAAGACCCATCTCCATAAAAAAAATTAAAATTAAAATTATGTAGATGTAGTAGCCCATCTACATAATTTTGTAGAGATAGGGTCTTGCTCTTGCACATGCTGGTCTTGAATCCACCCACCTCAGCCTCCCAGAGTGCTAGGATCACACATGAAATTTGATAGAATGGGAGAAGATATTTGCTGGTTATGTCTCTGACAAAAGTTTAATAACCAGAATCCACAGAGAACTCAAACATATTAGCAAGAAGAGAACAAGTGATCCCCTCTCAGGGTGGGCAAGGGACTTGAAGAGAAACTTCTCTGAAGAAGACAGGCACATGGCCTACAAACATATGAAAAATGCTCACCATCCTTAATCATCAGAGAAATGCAAATCCAAACTACTCTAGATATCATCTAACACCAGTAAGATTAGCCCATATCACAAAATCACAGATGCTGGCATGGTTGTGGAGAAAAGGGAACACTTCTACACTGCTGGTGGGATTGCATACTAATACGTTCCTTTTGGAAAGACATCTGGAGAACACTTAAAGAACTAAAAATAGACCTGCCATTTGATCCTATAATTCTTCTATTAGGTGTATATCCAGAAGACCAAAAATCACACTACAATAAAGATATTTATATCAGAATGTTCATTGCAGCCCAATTCATAATTGCTAGGTCATGGAAGAAGCCCAAGAGCCCATTGATCCACAAGTGGATCAATAAATTGTGGTATATGTACACCATGGAATACTATGCACCCATTAAGAAAGATGGAGACTTTACCTCCTTCATGTTTACATGGATGGAGCTGGAAGATATTCTTCTTAGCAAAGTATCCCAAGAATGGAAGAAAAAATATCCAGTATACTCAGCCCTACTATGAAACTAATTTGTAACTTTCATAGGAAAGCTATAACCCAATTTTAGCCCAGGAATAATGGGAGAGGGGAGAAGGAGGGGAGGGGAGGGTGATGGGTGGGATCACACCTGTGGTTCATCCTATAAGGGTACATGTGAATCCCTCTAAATGTAGAATATAAATGTCTTAACACAACAACTAAGAAAAAGACATGAAGGCTATGTTAACCAGTTGGATGAAAGTTTTTCAAATTGTATACAGAAATAGTACACTGTACCCCATGATAGTATTAATGTAC